TGTATAATGAGGAGGGTGAGACTGCTGACTGAATGGCTTATACATAGATGAGAGGAGAGGATAGGGACCGATGGACAGCACCGTGCTGTTTTAGTTCTCAGTGACTCAGACTACGCAAAAAAGCCTTAACAGCGCAAAAGAAAACGTACATCGGCCTCAGACACAGAGCCCTAGCTTTCTCTGGATTATGTTGATGCCTGAGTGTCAAAGATTCCTCTAGAGAGTATGAAATCTAAGATTTAGCAACGGAAGAACATTCCAGTAAATCAGAGGAAAAGAGGTGGTGTGTCTTAACATTCTGCCTCTGGCATAAGGGATGGGATCACATAAAGGAGAACATTCCAGACCTCCAGAATCTGATCCATAACTCTGCTACAGGGAGAATCGCATTGCCCATTGTTCTAGCAGCAATAGAACATTTTACAGGTTAATAAACCCTGAAACCCAGTGTTTTTATCAAAGCTTTCCAGGTAATGCTTCCTTCTAGTTCCACTGACAAATGCAGCTCTATCTGTCCTGTCTATTCACTGTGCAGCCATACCTCACCATACATATGCCCAGACTTGCCTTGCTTAAAGCCTATGTAACAACATAATTGTAAAGCAGAACGAGAGACACTGCTCTCCTTGTTTAATATCATTTGTTTTGCGCTATTACACAGAGGAATAATGGGTATCTGTGTCTTTTTCAAAACACACCTTTGACATTGACTGACTGACTGGATTCATGTCAGGAGTTAGTGAAAGTGCCCATAAATCTCCTGAGGGGACTCAAAATGCCACATTCTGCAGAGTTCACACTTAAACTCAATCATCCTGTGGAATTTGCGGAATGGGTTGTTTTCCTGGCTGACACACCTACAGTGGTTTCATGGCATCAATGTCTTCTGTCATAGATACACACATAAAAGCCTTCCCTCTGAGATGAAAGGTTGTCTGTGTCTTCTGGCTGTGGTCTCCTGAGGGATAGGGAATTCTGCCTCCAACCCCCTCTATGGGCCCTGGTCAAAAGTAGTGCACTTTATAGAGAATAGGGCATATCAACTGGGCTTTCCCGTTTATTTTCCTCCTCTCTCACCGTGACACTGTCTCCATGACAGACACTGGGCTCCTTCTCCACAGTCTTCCTGCATGACTGGCTCTAATGATGGAGTAAAGGAGCTGGAGCAGGAGCCTACCACTGGATACAGGCGCTGCCATCCGGAAGGATTGCATCCTATCCACGGGGAAATGCACATTTCATTTGTCCTTTATTTAAGCGTACAGTCATCATAATCTATTAAAAGAAACGTATTACAGAATAAAAGGAAAACGAGTTGGTTTGCTTCACTATTTAATGTCACACATACACATGCACGCATGCACACACACACACACACACACACACACACACACACACACACGTGGGTGGTGATCTCTTGCCGATAGTTTCCACAATAAAGGGCTTGTCATTGCAGTCCTCCTGGCATTAGAATTTGTGGTGGTAATTCTCAAACTTGATAGGCTAATCTGGACTTTCCATTACGATCTGTATGTTCTACAAGACAAGTGTTCCAAGTAGACTGAGATCTGCTTTCACTCATTGGCCCTTATGACAGAAACCAACCCCTCCTCCTCCCTCATTACATTCTCTCCCATAACTCTCACCCAGAGATTCACCCCCAAGACCAGGGTCTAATTGTACTGGTGACCTCATGAAGACATTCTGAATCAATGGATGACAAATCCGTCAAATCTAGAATGCACTGGGAATTGTCCAACAATTCATACATTATCCCTGTATTCAATATTGTTCACGTAATTACATTTTTTTTCATGAGGTTATGATACCCATTAATTTGTGTGTGCAGCATTGCAGGCGGATTCCCACTTCTGGGGGGCTGCGTCACTAATGGAACCATATTCCATGTAGTGCACTACTTTTGACCAGGGCCTGGAAATAAAACAAGTGGACTCATAAACCTTGTAATAGCTTATTCCTTAATCCTTGGTGGTCACACTTTTGGGAAGAACAGTATAGACTGATCAAACCATCAATTACATTTTAACTGCAACGTTTCTTGCAAAGCTGTGTGTGTGCCTACAATCCTGTTTCCTCTGCAACACCCACTAGCCTACTGATCAAAGATGGTTTACTCTATGGATTATATAGATGCTGAATGTGTGTGAGATCAGAGATATTACAAAAAGGAGGAGATAGGAATCCCATTAGTCAATCAATTGGAGGAACATATAAAGCCCCACCCAGCAGACTGTCGACTAATCGTGTTCACGTTGTCATTGTGCGTCACGCGGTTGCTAAGCTAATTATCACGCAAACCCTTCTCAAAGTCAGGGTATGATGCCACTCCCGACCTCAGTGCGTTCAAGACAACTGGGAACTCGAGAGAAAAAAACGATCTCTGACTGGGAAAAATCATTTTGAACTGTCATCCAACTCGGAATTCCAAGTCGGCAACGATTGGCCTCTTCCTAAAGCTCTGACTTTCTGACGTCATGATTTGACTTCATAGTTTTTCAGAGTTCCCAGTTGTCTTGAAAGCACCATTAGTCGAGAAACCTGACTATTTTCCTCGAAAGTAAGTAATGTCACGATTCCAAAGCTATATGATGTTACAGAGAACAAGTTAATTATCTCACATCTCGGAAAATATTTTAATGTTGTACTTCTTGTTGACGAAATTCATGCTAATGTTGGGTTTTTGAGCTAGCACCCAATTCACTCCTTGGAGGAGAGCTCTCCTTGTCCCAGAATCGCTCAGAATGCACTGTGCGGCCCATTGACTATGCATGGGCAACGTACACAATGGCCGTAAATACTATTCCAAAGGAGTTTCACATCTCCTCAAAAGTATCTCTGGTGGAATGCACTGCGGTGTATTGAGAGAAATAGTAATGGCATGTTTTTGTAGGCACCAACTCCACCAGGGTTTGTTGGACAAAGCCTATGAGGAAAATTAATGGCTCTTTTGGATAAACACCGAAAATAAGGTCTGTGGTAAACACAGGCTTAGGAGATCTTATATGTCTTGTTCTATGAGATAATCTTCATCACCTAACTTCATTTTTGTTAATTTTGAAGAATTTATGTAATCATAAAAAAGACATAAATCACAAAGGCTTCATAATTCATAAAGGTCAGGTCATGTTAACTGATTGTTAATATCTCATAGAACAAAACGTTTATGATCTCCTAAACCTATGTGAACCTCAGACCTTATTTTCGGCGTTTATTCCAAAACCCTATTCTTTCCCTATTAATTTTTCCCATAGGAATGGCTGAACGAACCAGAGGTAACTTATTTCCGGGTTTTAGGACTACAAACTGGCGATCTCTATGGGTGTGATGAGGAGGGGGTTGGATATATATGGTAATAATGACGTCTCCTCTCTTGCTTTAAATGGATGAGTTCGTTTTGCATGACCCGGTGCCCCGAGTAGGTGGCGAGTTCATTTAAGATCCAATGGAATGGTCTAAAACAGGGTTCTTCAATTCCGGTCCTGGAGGGCCGAAACACCTCTGTTTTTCATCCTCTCCTTCTAATCAGGGGCTAATTCAGACCTGGGACACCAGGTGAGTGCAATTAACTACCAGGTATAAATAAAAAACAGAAGTGTTTCGGCCCTCCAGGACCGGAATTGAAGAACCCTGGTCTAAAATGTACCTACTCCGCTAACTGGGGCACCGGGCCATGCAAAACAAATTCTCCCATTGGCGGAAACCCAGTGGGCTCAAAAAGCCCGCCTTCTTTCCCCGCGCTATCATCCTATTAGTTGATATTTTGAAACGTGAAGGGTTGATCCGATTCAAAGACGGGTTCTCATAGGGCTATTGTTTCGTTGGACACGCCCTTTGGCCAGTTTGGTTGAAGGCGTAGATTTTTTTCCGCTGCCTGAAGCTCAAAGCGTATCTACTCGGAGTGGCGGATCGGAACCACCTAGCTAACTAAAGGTAGGGAAATATAGCTTCTTCTTTATATCTTGGAAATTAATGTGTAGCTAGGTTACTATATTTAAGATATAGTTCGATTGTTCCAATCTTGTAAGGAAATGTAAACTGTCTATCTATGGCTAGTTAGCTTACGGTGTGTGGTGTGGTTGCCACTGCGGTCCAGCAAAATTATTCGGTGTCGCGCTATTTACTGCAGCCAGACAGCCATCTAGCTAACAAGTTAACGTTCGCTTGTTAGGCAATCACATTTGGATATTGGGCAAACCATCACACTTGCTGTAAATGTAAGTCGCTCTGGATAAGAGCGTCTGCTAAATGACTAAAATGTAAATGAGATGGCAGAAGTTGTAACATTAGGATATATTAAACAAGTCAAGTGAATTACAACATATCCGTCTAACAATTTTACTAGTACAGTATAACTGTAACGTTAGTTAGAAGAGGAACGTTAGTTACGTTTCTTTAGCCAGCTAGTTAGCAGACTATCTGCCTGGCTAGCCTCAGCTGCAGATAGTTGGCAAACGTTAACTAACAAATTGGTAGCATACGTTTAAAAAGTATTAAAGTTACTGTAGTATTGGGGAAGCGGGAAGGTTACACAACATTGTCTGGCTAGTGTCATTTCACCGAACTGTGTCGCTCACGACCATGAGTGACTGAGTTGACAGTGAGTTGGCTTGACGCTGGGAGTGAAAGCTGTGTGCCGTAGTCGGAGTAGGTGTCAAGCCAGGGCTGTTTCCCAGCTAGCTAATGTTATATTAACAAGTCAACTATTTAATGTATTTGTTTTTGTAAAAGGTTAACTAACCAACCAACTTCATCATTACAGTTGTGTGCATGCAGTCACCATCCTAAACGATCATCTCATTTTCCTCCCCAGGTGTCCCTGTCTGGATAACATACCTGTACCTCCATTCACCTGTCCAACGATTATAAATAACTATCGTTCTAAACGATATATCCCCATATCTTTGTCCCCTTCCTTCCCCTCTATTGGGACTGTATTTGAAACTGCGAGTGACAGTTTGAACATCAAATAACACATAAATATGGAGAAAACGGAGCTGATTCAGAAAGCCAAGCTGGCGGAGCAGGCTGAGCGTTACGACGACATGGCTTCGTCCATGAAGGAGGTAACTGAAAAGGGGGCTGAGCTGTCGTGCGAGGAGAGGAATCTTCTCTCAGTCGCCTACAAGAACGTTGTCGGGGCCCGGAGGTCCGCATGGCGGGTCATCTCCGCAATCGAGCAGAAGACAGAGGGCAGCGACAAAAAGCTTCCGATGGTCAAGGAGTACCGGGATAAGGTGGAGACCGAGTTACGAGACATCTGCAACGATGTATTGGTGAGTTAATGTTTTTCTGCCAGCCAGAATGAGTGGGCATGTATGGCTTTGAGAGAACCAGATTTGATTTACCCAGTTCACCTTCTCTGGTGGAAATTGAGGACACACTGTCTGCGATGACCACAAGAAAACATGTCTGAGCCTGGGGGCTCAGCACAAGCAATAAATGGGGTCACTCGTGATATAAAAAGCTTCTTGATAGATATATAGATATATAGAATCACCAACAAATCCTCACTGTTTCTGTGAGGCTGAGGAGAGCAAAAGCTGTCATCCATTTTATTATTTGGAAATTAGATGATGATTTGGTTGAGTCTGTATCCTCCCTCTGTATGACAATAATATATTTACTAGTAGTGCACAATAGAGCAGTCCTATAAGTCCTTTGTTTGCTGTATTGCATTAGTGGAAACCAAGACAGACTGTTCTCCGAGCGGGTCTGCCGGTTTTGACTAGCAGAAGTTACTTTTCGTAGAAGGTTAGAACTTAAGCAGCAGGTTAGGATAATTAACGTGGCTGGTTAGGAGAATTAACATGGCAGGTTAAAATGCAAAAATTGTCTCAGACGATCTATCTAAAACTTGCCCTGGGAACAGTCTTGGTTTCCACTAATCCGATGCTGCCTCTCATTCATGGACTTTAACATTGCGGTGCTTCTATTGGTGTGATGTTCATCTGAAACTATGCAGAAAGGCTGCACCAATTGATTATCTGAGCCGCAGTGGTGCAGTGGAATGACCTCCCCTTTCCACTGCTGCTCACAATCAATACAGTGCATTCAGAAAGTATTCAGACCCCTTGACTTTTTCTCATTTTGTTACGTTACATCCTCATTCAAACATGGTTTAAATTGCTTTAACCCCCTCAATCTACACATAATACTCCATAATGACAAAGCAAAAACACATTTCTTTTTTTTGCACAAAAAATAAGAAATAAAAAAACGTATCACATTTACATAAGTATTCAGACCCTTTACTCAGTACTTTGTTGAAGCACCTTTGGCAGCAATTACAGCCTTGAGTCTTCTTGGGTATGACACTACAAGCTTGGCGCACCTGTACGTTTCTCCTCAAGCTCTGTCAGGTTGGATGGGGAGTGTTGCTGCACAGCAATTTTCAGGTCTCTCCAGAGATGTTCGATCGGGTTCCAGTCCTGGCTCTGGCTGGGTCACTCGAGGACATTCAGAGACTTGTCCCAAAGCCACTCCTGCGTTGTCTTGGCTGTGCGCTTAGGGTCGTTGTCCTGTTGGAAGTTGAACTTTTGCCCCAGTCTGAGGTCCTGAGCGCTCTGGAGCAGGTTTTCATCAAGGATATCTCTTTACTTTGCTCCGTTCATCTTTCCCTCGGTCCTGACTAGTCTCCCAGTCCCTGCCGCTGAAAAACACCCCCACAGCATGATGCTGCCACCACCATGCTTTACCGTAGAGATGGTGCCAGGTTTCCTCCAGACGTGACGCTTGGCATTCAGGCCAAAGAGTTCAATCTTGGTTTCATCAGACCAGATAGTCTTGTTTCTCATGGTCTGAGAGTCCTTTAGGTGCCTTTTGGCAAACTCCAAGTGGGCTGTCATGTGCGTTTTACTGAGGAGTAGCTTCCGTCTGGCCACTCTACCATAAAGATCTGATTGGTGGAGTGTAGCAGAGATGGTTGTCAGTTTGGCCGGGCGGCCAGCTCTAGGAAGAGTCTTGGTGGTTCCAAACTTCTTCCATTTAAAAATGATGGAGGCCACTGTGTTCTTGGGGACCTTCAATGCTGCAGAATTTTTTGGGGTACCCTTCCCCAGAACTGTGCCTCGACACAATCCTTTCTCGGAGTGCTACTGCCAATTCCTTCGACCTAATGGCTTGGTTTTTTCTCTGACATGCACTGTCAACTGTGGGACCTTTTTAATATAGACAGGTGTGTGCCTTTCCAAATCATGTCCAATCAATTGAATTCATCACAGGTGGACTCCAATCAAGATGTAGAAACATCTCAAGGATGATCAGTGGAAACAGGAAGCACCTGAGCTCAATTTCGAGTCTCATAGCAAAGGGTCTGAATACTTATGTAAAGAAGGAATTTCTGTTTATTTTTAATACATTTTCACTTTGTCATTATGGGGTATTGTGTGTAGATTGAAGATTCCATTTTAGAATAAGGCTGTGATGTAACACAATGTGGAAAAAGTGAAGGGGTGTGAATACTTTCCGAATGCACTGTATGTGTTGCAGGGCAGGCACTGGCCGTAAAGGCAGGCAGCACCTCTTTCCTTCCTCTTTAAATTTCACTGAATAGTTTATTAGGTTTGTCAACAGAACAGTCAGACATTCTGAGTCAAAGGGCATGGCAAATGTCCACATAATAATGGGCTCTACTTGGTAGACTGATGTTTTGTTGGATTGGCTGCTTGACTTTGATATGCCAGATCAAATGATGCAGAACAGCAGTATGTGAACTGGGCCTCCGGTGGGGATGTTGGAGCATCTAGACAAGTTACGATAATACTAAGCAGTTGTATTGGACTTGTTGTGGTACAGCACCGCCATAATCCTGTCGCTACATGTTAAAGAATTTGTGACCCCTGTCCATCTACCCTTTTTTTCAATCGAAGGCCATTTTATTTTTGGTTTTGTACTGGAAGGTTCTTAGTTGTTCTTTACATTTCCTGTCCCTCAGTTCTTTGTTATCCAGAATGGCTGTGTCTGCATCCCACATGGCATACTATTCAAGCCCATATAGGGCTCTGGTAAAAAGTAGTGGATAGGGAGCCATTTGAGACAGAATCCTAGTGTTGGCTGGAAGTTGCCTGACCTGTTTGCATTGCTGTCTTATCTACTGTCACTCTGGGAGAGTTTATTGTTGCGCCTGTCTGCAGGGCTTGAGTGGGTGTGGCCGCGGTGAGAGACGGCACCTGTAATCTCTCTTAGATTACGTGCTGTTGCCACAGCCCCCTAATGTTCATCCACTTTAAAAGACACGGTTTAACACCAAGGTGTGCTGATACTATGGGCTGAATGGCAAAGAAGGCTAATTTACTTGTAATTCTTCATGCTGCTGGAGTGGCCAGTTTATCCACTGGAGCATGATCTACTCTTTATGATTTACTCTTGTAATCATAGCTGCCTACCTGCCCCCGTCCCCCCCGTCCGACGGGTAGATATGGATAGAAAAGAGCAGAAGCTCTTGAGTTATCCGACCAGGCCCCAGTCATAGCAGAAGACTCATGCAACACCCTGGGTGGTGTCTCTGTCAACTGCATTCTTGACATACTCACCTAAAGCTTAAAACAAGACTGAGTTTGTCTCATTAGTAGTGCATGACCGTCCCATTTTTGTCACTGTATTCAGCTTGTGTGTAGTACTACTCTCTATTGTTAACTATTCAACCAGCTCAATAACCCTCTGTATATATGCGTCATAGTCATGCTTTAACTAGGGCAGAGATATTAGTGCTGTTGGCATATGAAGAGATGCTTGTGCGAAGCTTAGCTGTATTTTTCAGTTTATCCCTCCGAACAGCGTGGACTGCGTCCCTAATGGCACCCTATTCTCTATATAGTGCACTTCTTTTGGCCAGGGCCGATGAGGCTCTGTACAGAGGTAATGCACTATGTAGGGAATAGGATACCATTTGGGACGCAGACCCAGGGTCCCAAAGGAAAGGGGGCAGATCGGTTCTAAAAGCCTGGCTAGTCTACTTTAGAACAACCTAATGCACATCCTCAACACTCCCAGAGGAAGAATTCTATAATGTGGAAATGGACTACCTCACCACTAAAGCCACATTTATTGCAGTCTGTCTGGCGCTCTGTCTGTAGTGACATTTGGGGGTGGGCATTAACACTCATTGGTTTCCTGTCAAAAAGGGAACATGTATGGCAGTGGCTTCATTCAACAGGCTGTGTCTGAGACCTTTGACATATAGCAAGGGAGACACTAGCCCTGAGCACATGTTGGTCTTTTACAGTTGTCCTCAATTGTGGAGTACACACTTAATTCTAGGTGTTTGGTGATGGAGGAAAAGCTCAGTTATTGTATTGCATCTCTTGTAGATCAGGCTTAGATCAAGCACCCTGGTGGATTAAAGCCGATTACCAGTAATCCAGACGGGTCCATCTATTCCAGTGTTTCCCAACTCCAGTCCTCCAGTAGTACACATTTCTGTTGTAGCCCTGGACAAGCGCACCTGATTCAACTTGTCAACTAATTATCAAGCCCTCAATGAGTTGAATCAGGTGAGTTTGTCTGGGGCTACATTAAAATGTGTGATGTTGGGGGTACTCTAAGACTGGAGTTGGGAAGCATTGCTCTAGTCTTTACACCCTTTTGATCTGGGCTGTGATGGAGGTGTCAGGCTGTTCATCGAGGCAATCCAAGCTCTCATCCACACAGGCCCTAAACTTAACCGACATACACTGAGTGTACAAAACCATTAGAACACCTGCTCTTTCCATGACATAGACTGACCAGGTTAATCCAGGTGAAAGCTATGATCCCTTATTGATGTCACTTGTTAAATCCACTTCAATCAGTGTAGATGAAAGGGAGGAGACAGGTTAAAGAAGGATTTTTAAGCCTTGAGACAATTGAGGCATGGATTGTGTATGTGTGCCGTTCAGAGGGTGAATGGGCAAGACAAAATATTTAAGTGCCTTTTTGAATGGGATATGGTAGTAGGTGCCAGGTGCACCGGTATGTGTCAAGAACTGAACACTGCTGGGCTTTTCACACTCAACAGTTTCCCGTGTGTATCAAGAATGGTCCACCACCCAAAGAACATCCAGCCAACTTGACACAACTGTGGGAAGCATTGGCGTCAACATGGGCCAGCATCCCTGTGGAACGCTTTCAACACCTTGTGGACTACATGCCCTGACGAATTGAGGCTGTTCTGAGGGGGGGGTGCAACTCAATATTAGAAAGGTGTTCCTAATGTTTGGTATACTCAGTGCATATGGCGTGCAGAGCTGTGGTCAAGTGGGTAATACTCTCGGCACAAGCCACATGTACACGCCTCCCCACTGGAGACCAGGGTTCAATCCCCGTCTTCAGCCTATGTCTCCCTTCTATAGCTACACCTGTCAAATAAAAAACAAAAAAATCAAATTTAAATAAGAACGACACATAATCATCATCCTGCTGTGTCACTTCCTGTCCTCTGTGTATAGGAAGCTGTAACCCTGACAGACTCGGATGTTCATTGAGGATGTAGCCTAGTGTGCAGGCTCAACGCTGAGCTAGCGCACACACTGGCTGAGCAGCATCTGGGTGCTCTAATTCTGCACTGGCCATCTGTTCGAGTGCTCTGCTCTACACAGGGCCCCTCTGGGCTAGTGACTTCATGCTCCAGCCTCGTATTACATAATAAGTATGTATGTTATTACGTACTCTAGGTAGTATGTACACGCAGGGATAGTGAAATTTGTGCCTCGTCACGTTATCACACATTGGTTACAGTAGGTGATTTGTATTGCCAGTCTGTTTGTGCTGTCACGCCAACTCATTGTCATGCCGTGTTTGGCTTGATAATTTCAGCAATACACGTGGTAAAGATGTCAATGGAATTTGACCAAAACAATGACAACGCCAGCCAAGCGTCCCCCCCCCTGTGGGGGATAAATCCAGAATCTCCTCATCACCGTCCATCAAATTAGCCTACATTTAGTTATTGTTTGTCTATTTCACACAATGTTGGGGTACAAATCGGAGTATAATGCTTGTTTAGATGTCAACCCCAATACATGTTCATGTCATCGTCACCAATCAACTGCATTAGCCTACACTTAAAAACGCCTTCAACTACCACCACTGATTTCTATATGATAGCTTTGCTACCAGCTTATACGAACGGGAGTTAGCATTTAGCAGACATTTTTTCTAAACCCGAAAAGGACAACTTCTTCTAAGTATTATACAGCAAAAACAGCCAATCCAAATGGGATTTTATTAACCACCTTGTGGGCCTGTTATCATGACGGATTTGACTAATATCCATACTCAGCTTTTTTTGACTGGGCGCCAATGACTGCCTCCTTCTATCCCCCCCACGTTCTGCGTTCCAATGATCTCTTTACCACATGCATGAAGTTGGCAAGAGCACAAACAGATCTGGGACCAGGCTGGATTTGTGTAACCTACAGTAAGCTGCTCATGAACCTATACAAACCCATAAGGATACTGACTTGACCAATGTTCATAATGACTGCATAATATGCTGCTGCTGATACTGGATAATCTGTTATGCTCAATGGGACTGGTAGCATTTTGTTTTTCTCTGTGCTACTGCTAGTGTTGCTGTTCGTTTGCTCTCGTCACCATGAATAACGGGGATATGCCATCTGCTTTGTTCCGATGACCGTCTAAATGTAGCTAGACTATGAAATGACTCAAGCTCAGTGGTCACAGTATGGCACTACAGCGTCATCCACTTTCACCTTATTTCACATGCTCCTGCTGCTTGGTTGTTCAGGTGCATAGAGAGGTCAGTGACTCACACTTGTTGTATAGATGGAAAGCCAATATTAGGTAAGTGTTAGGGTTGACCACATGACAGGGCCCAGTGCTCTGTTGGAATGGCTGTGTCCCAAATGGCACCCTATGCCCTTTTATAGTGCTCTAGTGCGCCATATAGAGAATAGGGTGCCATTTGGGACGTATACTGAATGTCTGAGCACGTGTTTGTTGGGAGGCGGTAGGGAGGTGTACACATTCCTCCCCTCATTATCTGTGAAGGAAATATTGAAAATATTGATTCTGTCCTGATTCCCACCCTCCCTCCAGGGATAAGGTCAAACTGGCAGAAATAGTCTACGTCCCAAATGGCCCCCCTATTCCCTACATAGTGCGCTATTTTTTTGACCCTGGTCAAAAGTAGTGAACTAAATAGGAAATAGTGTCATTTAAGAAAATGTATTTAACCTTTATTTAACTAGGCAAGTCAGTTAAGAACAAATTCTTATTTACAATGATGGCCTACCCTGGCCAAATCCTCCCCTAACCCTGATGATGCTGGGCCAAGGGCCAATTGTGCGCCGCCCTATGGGACTCCCGATCACAGCCAGTTGTGATACAGCCCGGGATCGAACCCGGGTCTGTAGTGACGCCTCTAGCACTGCTATGCAGTGCCTTAGACCGCTGTGCCACTCGGTCCCCTGAAATTTGGGACAGAGCCATAGAGGATGGCAGCAGAGAAATTATAGAATTGGTGTATAATTCAATAAGTCTTGACCCAGCATGTTCATTTGAGGAGTCGATAAGTGAGCTCTCCACTAGAACTGTCAGGCCTGATTATGAGGTTTTTATTTTGCCTATTAAAATGTTCAGTTAGAGGTGCTGAATCATGCCATGAGCCTTTGAGGAGAGGGACCTCGGCTTCATTGGCCTGCTACTAACACACACACACACACCTGTTCAGCGCTGAGGATAGAGGAGTGCCTCTCTAAGGATGTTTGTGGTGATGATGCCACTCAGAGGAAATGGCGGCCGGTTCAGCCCATTTCCTGGGTTTGCTGTGCGGCTGAAGTGTGTGCATGTGTCAGCAAGTGACATCTCAGAACAAGCAGCAGTTAAGCTGTACAATTAAAGGGATACTTCAGGATTTTGGAAATGAGGCCCTTTTATCTACTTCCCAGAGTCAGATGAACTCATGAATACCATTTTTATTGTCTCTGTGTGCAGTTTGAAGGAAGTTGCCAATTAACGCTAGCAATTGCGCTAGCGCTAGTTAGCAACTTCCTTCAAACTGTATGCAGACTTCTTTCAAACTGCAAGATATCCACAAGGCTCTAAGGAATTGCGTAGGCATACGTCTGTACCGCCATTTGGTTTGTTCAGTCATTGATTTTTGTTTTTGTAGTTGCTGGGACTTAGCATTAGTGTGTTATTGGTGAATGCACCAATTTGTAAGTCGCTCTGGATAAGAGCGTCTGCTAAATGACGTAAATGGAAATGGAAATGGAAGTAGATAAAGGGCCTCATTGCCAAAATCCCAAAGTATCTCCCCTCGGTCTGTGCATATCTACAGCAGTAGTATGATGTAGGTGTAATGAGGGCGGCAGGTAGCGTAGCGGTTAGAGCATTGGGCCAGTAACTGAAATTAACATAAACACGTTTAGCATCTCTGGGCTTTTACGCATTGCCTACAAGCCACTGATGCAGACCTCGAACATCCACATTTAAAAAAGTCTGTTTAATATAGCTTACACCATCACAATAAATCCATTATTTATTTTAGGCAGGTATAAAGAAACATGATATGAAGAAAATGTAGCCTATTTCAGAAGAACATGACTCGACCTTCGCCTCTTGTCTTTTACCCCCTTTTTCGATCTTGTCTCATCGCTGTAATTCGCCAACAGGCGAAGGTCGAGTCATGCGTCCTCCAAAACATGACCCCGCCTAACCGCGCTTCTTAACACCCACCCCGCTTAACCCAGAAGCCAGCTGCACAAATGTGTCGGCGGAAACACCGCTCAACTGACGGCCGAGGTCAGCCTGCAGGCGCCCGGCCCACCACAAGGAGTCACTAGAGCGCGATGAGCCATGTAAAGCCCCCCTGGCCAAACCCGGCCAATTGTGCACCGCCCTATGGGATTCCCGGGCACAGCCTGGGATCGAACCCGGGTCTGTTGTGACGCCTTAGACCGCTGCGCCACTCGGGAGGCTCTAGAATAGCATATTCTAAGTCGTCCTTATGTTAGGCCCTGATCTGGCTATGCCATATGGCTGTGGGTTACACTAGTTCATTTAGCAGACAAGATTTGCCTGTAATGTTGAGATGTGTCTGTTACTTGAACTCTGTGAAGCATTTATTTGGGCTGCAATTTCTGAGGCTGGTAACTCTAATGAACTTATCCTCTGCAGCAGAGGTAACTCTGGGTCTTTCTTTCCTGTGGTGGTCCTCATGAAAGCCAGTTTCATCATAGCGCTTGATGGTTTTTGTGACTGCACATGAAGAAACTTTCAAAGTTCTTGAAATGTTCCGAATTGACTGACCTTCATGTCTTAAAGTAATGATGGACTGTCGTTTCTCTTTGCTTATTTGAGCTGTTCTTGCCATAATATGGACTTGGTCTTTTACCAAATAGGGCTATCTTTTGTATACCACCCCTACCTTGTCACAACACAACTGATTGGCTCAAACACATTAAGAAGGAAATACATTTCACAAATTAAAATTTAAGAAGGCACACCTGTTAATTGAAATGCATTCCAGGTGACTACCTCATGAAGCTGGTTGAGAGAATGCCAAGAATGTGCACACTTTCTTGGTTACACATGATTCCATATGTGTTATGTCATAGTTTTGATGTCTTCACTATTATTCTACAATATTGAAAATAGTACAAATTAGTAGGTGTGTCAACTTTTGACTGGTACTGTATGTGTGAAATTAGTTTTGATTTAGAATGGGCCATTTATCATGCACCTGTCGGAACAGGGACAGTGGAAAAAAGAAATCTGTATGCACTTGAATAGCGAGTGGAGGGCGCTTTTCCCGCGGTTCATTTTCATGCCAGCCAGATAGAGCGCAGTTTTGGAGAAGCCTAGTTACCGTGACTCAACAGTCACATGGAATTTGACTGTGGTCATGACTCGTGACTGCCAGTGTGGCTGTAAGTACGGTCACCGTAACAGCCCTGCCTGTACGTCAGTGCTGTCACCGTGCGTCTCACCCAGGCTGTCAGATTGTCGTCATGCCGACCTGATAATCAGGTATTAGAGAGCCAGCAATAACGGCAGCCTGTAGTTGGGATCACCTTCACTCAAGCCTTTCACTGGGTTATCTCTGTGCCGCCGCATCTTTCACTGCGTTATCTGGGTTCGCCCACTACACAGATTAAACACAAGGGATGTAATTGTAATTCCTCCCTGCCTCCCTCCTTGGGACTGAATATTGGCCTCACCATGCTGTAGTACTGACCTCCACAGATGCAGGGAGCAGATAACAGCTTACCACACGTGTAGTCTTAGAGCCAGTTAGTGCTGTCATGCCAACTCCCTGTCACTCATTGCCATGCCAAACACGATTGACTCGACAATGACAATTATGGAGTAGACGAGCACAAATGTATGTGGGACCAGGCTACCTACCACACGTGGTCTCTAGGCAGGACTCTGTCTACCGCTGTAAGCCGCATGCTCTTATTAAGAGGAAGTAGACGATTGTTCAGATTACACAGGAAGCTGGTTGTAGAGTGCTCATTCTTTCGTACCAGTATAATGTGCGTGTAAATGCAACCACAACCTGTTTGTGTGTTACACCCACAATCTGAGGCAACGGATAAGTCAATAAAGTACAGCTACGATAATGAATAGGGTTTCGTCCCAAATGGCACCCTATTCCCTTTAGAGTGCACTACTTTTGACCAGTTCTGGGAATAGGGTGCTATTTGGGACTCATTCAATGTTTTTATATGCGAGACAGCCATGTAGAGTGTTTTGGTGTGTTTACGAGAATGTAACTCCAAAGAATCTTTAACCCGAGTCATCCTGCAACACTGGCCAAAGGAAGGAGTCCATCACATTTATGGGTGGGACAAAAAAGTTCTTATTTTTTCTTTTTTGTAAATGATATTTTCTCTTGCTGAAGAAGCACTCCCTCTCTGGACGCCACAGTATTTCCCTCTCCTCTTCAAAGCAGGTCATATTAATGAAAAATATACCATTTTTTTCTTGAAGTTTCTTCCAATTATTTTCTCCCTCCAATTTGAATTATTGAACTGTGGCCTGTCTTGGAATCCAGTCTGTGTACAAAATGAGATGGAATACGTCCCAAATGGCACCCTTTTCCCTATATAGTGCACTAATTTTGACCAGGGCCCAAGTGCACTATGTAAGGAAGGGGTGCTATTTGAGACTCAGACATGGAGTTCTTCACATTAATGTTAACTCTCCTCCTGTCGGTTTTCTCCCTCAGGGTCTGCTGAGCAAATATTTGATTGAAAACGCTCCTAATGCGGAGAGCAAAGTGTTCTATTTGAAGATGAAGGGAGACTACTACAGATACCTGGCTGAGGTGGCCTCCGGAGACGACAAGAAGGGTAAGTACTGGGCTGCTGGACTGATCAGTCTACGTACCAAATGGCACCCTATTCCATATAGTGCACTACTTTTGAACATGGTCCATGTCCTAAATGGCACCCTATTCCCTATATAGTGCACTACTTTTGACCAGGGGCCCTGGTCAAAAGTAGTGCACTATATAGGGAATAGGGTGGCATTTGGGACTCCGGTTAAATTTGGGACTAGATATAGGGGTGGGGGGAGGGATTGATAGTTACATATATTATATCGATATTTGACTCAAAGTATTGATTTTTATTTTTGGCTACTGTAGGCAGCGTTAACTAGTGCTAGTCTGCTGTACCTGCACTAAAACTCTGGGATTTTTCATCCTATAGCTTGTTCTCCATCTTCTTTTTAAATAGTGAGCCAACATGTTTTCAGCACTTTTATTTCCCTGACTGATCAAAACAAGTTTTCTCTTGTCTCTCTGCTGCAGACATGTAGTGAGCAATATGTTTGGAACATCAAATCGCAATAAAATCGTAGTATCGATTCTAATCGCAATGCAGATCATATCAGCACCTAAGTATCGTGATAATATCGTATCCTGAGGTCCCTGTCAATTCCCAGCCCTAGCTCCCACTGGCCTCCCTGTCCCTCCCTTTAACTGGAGCCAGGAGTTCACAGTGGATAAAAGACTCAATCATAAACTGCGTTGTAGTAGAAAGGATTACGGGGGCTTATAAGGTTGTAGTCTGACCATGAAAGGAAATGAAATGATTATGTTGTAGAGCAGACAGTATACCAGGGAGGACAGCAGCTCTGCGTCCCAAATGGCACCCTATTCCCTTTAGTGCACTAACTTTGACCAAAGCCCTGGACCCTGGTCAACCGTAGTGTACTAGATAGGAAATAAATAGGGTGCCATTTGGGATGCTCACCAGTTATCTTTTGTTTGTTGATATTGTTTTGTTGTCAGACAGTATGTGTTGATAAGACATCTGGTTTTGTTCTCCTGATTCCCCTCAAATCATTATAGACCTTGGAGGTATTTAACAAGCATTTACTCAAGCATGCATCTCCCTCTGAGAAAAACAATATAAATACATTCTGTGGGTTGGAGCTCCATCCAGACGTCTAGCTTCAGGGGATGCAAGCTTGTTGATTTTATTGCAGGCTGAGTAAGTTTGGGCTCTGAACGTGGTGATGGGTGTATGAATGTTCCCTCCCTGCTGCCCTGGGGGTCTCTTCCCTCCCTCCCGCCCCAACTGAAGATGGAGGGGGTTGAAACTGGGAAGGGAGGATGTGTCTCTGTCTGGCACTAGCTACAAATTAACAGTTGAAATGTAGGCCTAGGTCTAGTCAGTTAGTAGCATAACGCTTGCTGGCTTATTTTGGCAGCCAGGCCAGGCACTCCACATGGATCATATCAGGGGATTCTTTTGTACTTTGTTTTTCTTGATGCCACAGCACTATTTGTATCTTTTGGTGCTCAACAAAGGATATTTATAAGCCCATTATCTCATATAGGCCTAGCTCTCAGAAACACGTACAGATAGGCTGACAGGGAAAGTGACTCCATTTGCAGCAGTGATCGATACCTAGAGGCATAGTATGACTTCCTGACCAAAGTCACATTTTACAAAGGTTATGAAATGAAACCGAGACAATGGTTTCGTCCCAAATTGCTTTTGAGCGTATGGGCCTTGGTGAAATGTAGTGTGCTATATAAGGAATAGGGTGCCATTTGGGATGTAGAGACTGTTTTTAGAGTCGGAGCTCTGTCTTAATGTTTCCTTCTTACTCCCCTCCTCTCCCACAGGGACGATATCCAACTCTCAAGACTCTTACCAGGAGGCGTTTGACATCAGCAAGAAGGAGATGCAGCCCACTCACCCCATCCGCCTGGGCCTGGCCCTCAACTTCTCTGTCTTCTTCTACGAGATCCTCAACTCCCCAGAGAAGGCCTGCTCACTGGCCAAACAGGTCAGGATGATAAAACGACACAGAAGCCCACACTGGCGGTGTCCCAAATAGCACCATATTCCCTATCTAGTGCTTTCTTTTGACCAGGACCTGTATGGCTCTGGTCAAAAGAAGTGCACTATATAGGGAATACGGTGCCATTAACGGGGTGTACTATACAGGGACACAGAGCTGTATTATATTCCCTCTCTTTCTCTCTCCACCTTTCATCTCCTTGTTCATATGCATATATCAACCATTTATTATTTGTGTGTGTGTGTGTGTGTGCTCGCAGGCCTTTGATGACGCCATCGCCGAGCTCGACACGCTGAGCGAAGACTCGTACAAAGACAGCACCCTCATCATGCAGCTGCTTAGAGACAACCTCACAGTAAGTTCCCTCCTGCCTCCCTCCACCGAGCGACATGATTGGATACTTCAGCAACACATCCCACCCACATCCATTCACCCACACACACAGGCACTGTGACTGCAACCCCCTCTAGTGTGTGTGCATCTTAGTTTAGTGTTTTAATCTCAAGCAGGAGGCAGTGCCATTTGTGAATGATTAGCTATGAAATAGGGGTTTGAAATTATTTGACCAAAGTGGAGCACAGGTATAATATACCATTTAGCTTTACTTTTATCCAAAGTGACTTACAATACACTGAGTGCATACATTTTTAGTCTGTGACTTCTGAAATGCTGATGGTCAGTCCATTGTTAATGGTGTTTTGTCTTGTGTGTTTCAGCTATGGACATCTGACAACGCAGCAGATGAGCCAGAGGCTGGAGAGGAAGGAGAGAACTGAGATGCTCCTCGTCCTTCCTCGCCAAGAAAAATAATAAATAATGGAAAATTAGAAAAAAAACATATTTTACACGTCTTCATTCCTTATTGTTCCACTTGAAATTATTCTAGTAATGAACGCCCGTCGTTACCATGGAGCTGTCAGTGTGTGGGAAATGTCAATCATTTTTGTTTTCACCATGACTCAGCTTTTTGGTATGAAGAAAAGCTCAATTAATTTAAAGTAAATAATATCGCCATTCCTGAATTTGTGTTTGTCCCGGCCTTCCTGATGTGCAGTTTCTGCTGCAGAAAAGTATTTGCTTCACTTTAACATCAACATTAACTGTCTGTTCAACATGACAATATAGGATGTATGTGTATGTTCACTCCCGGACGTATTTATTTGGACAGTGGTGCTAAAACTTTTAATTTGGCTCTATACTCTAGCATTTTGGATTTGAGATCAAATGTTTTTTGAGGCAACAGTACAGAATGTCCCTTTTTTCTTTTTGAGGGCGTTTTCATACATATCCGTTTTACCGTTTAGAAATTAATGTACCTTTATGTATTTAGTCCCCCCATTTGAAGGTGTCATAGGTATTTGGGCAAAATCACTTATAGCGTTACATTTAGTCAAAGTTTAGTATTTGGTGTCATATTCCTAGCATGCAGTGACTACATCAAGCTTGTGACTCTACAAACATGTCTTTATGCATTTGCAATTATTTTGGTTGTGTTTCGGATCATTTTGTGCCCAATAGAAATGAATGGTAAATAATGTATTGTCATTTTGTAGTCCCTGTTATTGTAAATAAGAGTAGAATATGTTTCTGAACACTTTTACATTAATGTTGATGCTATCATGATTACGGAATAATCATGAATGAATTGTTAATAATGATTAGTGAGAAAGTTACAGATGCACAAAGATCATGCCCCCAAAACATGCTAACCTCTCACCATTACCAATAACAGTGGAGGTTAGGATTTTCTTGTGGGTATGATATTTATACATCTGTAACTTTCTCACTCATCATTATTCATGATTATCTGTAATCATGGTATCATCCACATTAATGTAGAAGTGTTCAGACACATTCTGTTCTATTCTTACTTACAATAAAAGTGACTACAAAATTACACTACATTATTTACCATTCATTTCTATTGGGCACAACATAATCTCAAACACAACCAAAATAAACTGCAAATGCATCCAACCAATTTGTAGTCATTGCGTGCTGGGAATATGGGACCAAATACTAAACTTTTGACTACATTTAATACACTATAAATGAATTTGGCCAATTACGTATGACACCTTAAAATTGGAGGACTAGATGCATCAAGTGCTTTCATTTCTAAATGATATAACAGATATGTATGAAAATACCCTCAGATAAAAGGTGGCATTCTGTACTGTCGCCTAATATGAAACATTTTATTTCCAATCCAAAATGCTGGAGTGAAGAGCCAAATTAAAAGTTTGAGCTTCACTGTCCAAATAAATATGTAGGGGAGTGTGTGTGTGTGTCCCCAGAAAGATCTGTTTAGTACATTTTGAAAGGCCATTTGCAAACGGCGAGCATGGAGCAGCCTGGGCATATGGTGGGGAGGGAAAGACATGTCAAGCTGACCCAAATTTGACAGGTATTCTGGCGTGCCTCCACTGTTTGGTCTTCCAAAAAGGTTGCAAGGTAGTTGCATCTGCCAACACCTGCTGGACTGTGTAAGCCAACCTGTCATATTGGGTTTGTCCCAAATGGCACCCTATTCCCTTTTATTATGCACTACTTTTGACCAGAGCCCTCGTCAAACGTAGTGCACTATAAAGGGAATAGGGTGCTATTTGGGATGCAGATTGTATGGTAACTTGAACACTCCTGCTACCTGTATTGTATGAAGCCGCTGAGGCTGTCCAGCCAGTGGATGCATCCCTATTACCTATATAGTGCACTACTTTGGGGCCCTGGACAAAAGTAGTACACTATATAGGTGCTATTTGGGATGCAGCCTGTCAGCAGAGCCAGTGCTATACATGGGCTCTTGTAACAAGGTCTCTCTCTTTCGAAGGTCACAAAACACTCCTTCATAGTTATTATATTATTCAACATTGAGGTGACCATTTTGTTACTTTTTAGCATGTCCGACAGTTAAAAAGTGGCACTTTATAAAGACACACAAAAAAATAAGTAATGCATGCCCATTTTTCTATGTACACTGGAATGGGAATCAATATTGCATACACAGTCCCATTTTGTTTTTGCTCAGTACTTTTCATTGCAGGTTTGTGCACGTTCGAGGGTGTTTGGTTTGTCTAGTGATTGTCTTTAGAGTTTCCGACCACTTGTGTTTTTGCTAACCATTGATTGTAGTCCCCAAAGCCTTGTGAAAATGTGTAATGCCCTATGTAACATCTATGTAACATTAATAAAAAAGACATTTTATAAACCATACATTTGTGAGAATACATTTGTTAGATTTTTTATGTATTTAGTAACCTTTTAACACCATGGAAACCCATTGAGACCAGGGTCTCATTTCCAATGGTGCCCTGAGAACAACCGTTCAAACAATGTGAGCGACAATTCAAGCACGATAACTACAAAATTAGTTACATTTCAAATAAATTGTTACATTCAAAAGGGCAGTAGAAACAAATATATACAATAAATCGAAACAAGGGCAGTTTTCATTGGACCAATTTCTTTACCAGAACCCTACAATCACCTTTTGGGACCAAATAATCCAGTTTTAGAGTGACCTGAAGGTCATTCCAGGACTGAGGGACGTAGTAACTGAAAGCGGTCTTCCCTAACGCAGAGGAGACCTGCGGATCCTCTAGAACCAACCAATCTTGAGAGTGAGTCATATAGTTACTAGATTTCCAATTTACAAGTGAGATGAGGTAGTATGGGAGTTTCTGGAGATGTGCTTTATATATGAAAAATAGCCAATGTTGGGCCCTTCTGGTAGTCAGATACATTTAAACTCAGTTTCACAATTCCTGACATTTAATCCTAGTAAAAATTCCCTGTCTTAGGTCAGTTAGGATCAACACTTTATTTTAAGAATGTGAAATGTCAGAATAATAGTAGAGAGAATGATTTATTTCCGCTTTTATTTCTTTCATCACATTCCCAGTGGGTCAGAAGTTTACATACACTCAAGTAGTATTTGGGAGCATTGCCTTTAAATTGTTTACCTTTGGTCAAACGTTTTGGGTAGCCTTCCACAAGCTTCCCACAATAAGTTGGGTGAATTTTGGCCCATTCCTCCTGACAGAGCTGGTGTAACTGAGTCAGGTTTGTAGGCCTCCTTGCTCGCACACGCTTTTTCAGTTCTGCCCACACATTTTCTATAGGATTGAGGTCAGGGCTTTGTGATGGCCACTCCAATACCTTGACTTTATTGTCCTTAAGCCATTTTGCCACAACTTTGGAAGTATGCTTGGGGTCATTGTCCATTTGGAAGACCCATTTGCGACCAAGCTTTAACTTCCTGACTGATGTCTTGAGATGTTGCTTCAATATATCCACATAATTTTCCTTCCTCATGATGCCATCTATTTTGTGAAGTGCAACAGTCCCTCCTGCAGCAAAGCACCCCCACAGCATGATGCTGCCACCCCCGTGCTTCACGGTTGGGATGGTGTTCTTTGGCTTGCAAGCAGCCCCCTTTTTCCTCCAAACATAACGATGGTCATTATGGCCAAACAGTTCTATTTTTGTTTCATCAGACCAGAGGACATTTCTCCAAAAAGTATGATCATTGTCCCCATGTGCAGTTGCAAACCGTAGTCTGGCTTTTTTATGGCGGATTTGGAGCAGTGGCTTCTTCCTTGCTGAGCGGCCTTTCAGGTTATGTCGATATAGGACTCGTTTTTACTGTGGATATAGATACTTTTGTACCTGTTTCCTCCAGCATCATCACAAGGTCCTTTGCTGTTGTTCTGGGATTGATTTGCACTTTTCGCACCAATGTACGTTCATCTCTAGGAGACAGAACGCGTCTCCTTCCTGAGCGGTATGACGGCTGCGTGGTCCCATGGTGTTTATACTTGCGTACTATTGTTTGTACAGATGAACGTGGTACCTTCAGGCGTTTGGAAATTGCTCCCAAGGATGAACCAGACTTGTGGAGGTCTACAATTTTCTTTCTGAGGTCTTGGCTGATTTCTTTTGATTTTCCCATGATGTCAAGCAAAGAGGCACTGAGATGGAAGGTAGGCCTTGAAATACATCCCCAGGTACACCTCCAATTGACTCAAATGATGTCAATTAGCCTATCAGAAGCTTCTAAAGCCATGACATCATTTTCTGGAATTTTCCGAGCTGTTTAAAGGCACAGTCAACTTACTGTATATAAACTTCTGACCCACTGGAATTGTGAAACAGTGAATTATAAGTGAAATAATCTGTCTGTAAACAATTGTTAGAAAGATTACTTGTGTCATGCACAAAGTAGATGTCCTAACCGACTTGCCAAAACTATAGTTTGTTAACAAGAAATTTGTGGAGTGGTTGAAAAATGAGTTTTAATGACTCCAACCTAAGTGTAGTCGTGGTCAAACGTTTTGAGAATTACACAAATAGTAATTTTCACAAAGTCTGCTGCCTCAGTTTTGATGATGGCAATTTGCATATACTCCAGAATGTCATGAAGAGTGATCAGATGAATTGCAATTAACTGCAAAGTCCATCTTTGCCATGAAAATGAACTTAATCCCAAAAAAACATTTCCACTGCATTTCAGCCCTGACACAAAAGGACCAGCTGCCATCATTAACACAGGTGAGAGTGTTGACGAGGACAAGGCTGGAGATCACTCTGTCATGCTGATTGAGTTAGAATTTAGCTTTAAAAGGAGGGTGGTGCTTGAAATCCTTGTTCTTCCTCTGTTAACCATGGTTACCTGCAAGGAAACGCGTGCCGTCATCATTGCTTTGCACAAAAAGGGCTTCACAGGCAAGGATATTGCTGCTAGTAAGATTGCACCTAAATCAACCATTTATCGGAT